TTTGGGAATCTTTTTTTTAAAACGGATAGTTTTTATTTAAATTAAAGATATATATTCAAGAGTTAGATGTCTTGTGAAAAAATCAGTTCAATATGTAGAATGCTTCTTTATTTATTAACATATTTCCTAATTTTGTATTAGAGCAACGCAGTGCACCAGTGTTTTATATTTACAAGGCTCAATTTAATTTTTTATAAATTCCCGGACAAAATGTCCGATCAAAACTTATTTGGATCAGACAGTGTCCGATCAAATTTTTTAATATAATTTTTACAGTTTTACGGAACCAAGTTATGCAATCAAAATCTTTGTCATGTTATTAAGTTTATTTAACGTTTGTTATTTTAAATATTTTATTGCAGATATTTGCTTCTTTTCAATAAAATAGTTCCAATTTAATATTGCATGTTCTTTTAGATAGACTTAAACTTGCATGCTGTAACTGGCAACGCTTTTTTTTTTTTACTTTTTTACAACGGCTTTTTTGATGTTTTAACTATGACTGTGTCATAAATCGACTCTCAGGTTGAACTATATCCAACTTAAAAAAAAAATATGCCATCAAAGAGATATTTATTAGAATATTAAAAACATTAACTTGGATTTTTAAAAAACATTTTAAAAATCCAAGGGTGCTTTTTTTATACTGCAGGAAGGGGGGGGGGGGCCAAAATCCTATTAAAAATATTATTAATTAGAGGGCAAAGGAGCCTTGACCCTCCACTTGCCAAATTTTTTATATAAAATTTAAATCGATCATAAAATGTAGAAATATAATTAAATTTTTTGTTTATTTAAATTATTAGCGCAAAATGTGCCAATAATTTAAATATTGGTTTAATAAATTTTTAAATCTTAAAAAAATTGTATTATAATACTCATGGCCTTGTTATAATTTTAGCAAATAAAAAATGAATATAAATAGTTATTGTTGTTTTTGCTGGGAAACAAAAACTAAAAAGAGTCTTATTGCAGTCCAAGATGCTATTGAAAAACTGGTGCAGATAAATGTATACTCTGAATACATGAAAGAAATTGCAGCCTATCCTTCTTCTATATGTGGAAATTGCAAAACTGATTTTTACATGCTTGCAAAAAGAAAGAAACCACAAACTAGATGGACACAGAAGATGGAAAAGGTTAGTTTTAAGTTAATTGCATCTGTTAAAATAGAATTTTAAAATATCTGCTGAATTATAAAGATGTCAATTCTGTCATAAAAAGTTCAAATGTCGATTCTGGATAATTATTATTTAGATTGATTGGATTTCTAAGAAGCGCAAGTCTGACATAATTACAATTGAGATTGATGAGAGCTCTTCTACCTCTCTAGAAGTTCATTAAAAATCTGCTCTATATGTCTGTCAGTAATAGGAAATATAAACAGAAGATTTTATAATATTACATGATATTGGTATAGTCTAATTTTCATCAACAATATTTATTTTGGTTGCGGCTTAGAGCACAAATGCTGCAAATCAACTGCTGTAAAAAACCTTATATCATTGGCATTGGAACAAGGTATGCACAGTGCAGAGCAGGTGGCTTCTTCAATAATCAAGGAAAAAATGAACAAAGAAAAAGTAAATTCAGGTGATCTATTTTATTTAGCCACCTGCAGAAAATTGCAGATAATAAGAGTTGGTCGTTCTGAGCACAAATGAGACAGAAATCAAATCCAGCAAATCTCTTTTGAAACATTCAAGCAACTTCAACTAAATCTTGATCTTTCAAACAGAGGAACTTAAAAACTGATTTCTACTCTTAACAAGGCCACAGGAAAGAGAGTTGTCCAGTCAGAAGTGATGAAGTTACTGTCAGATCTTGAATTAACTGTGAAAAATTTTTACAGTGTTTAATCCATGCAATTTGAAGTTGGGGATAAAAAGAATGATAGGAACCTGGTTTTTGTAAAAGATTCTTTAGATTTTGTTATAAACAAGTGAGAGAGGGTTAAATCCTTATAACACCATTGTACGAGTTTCAGTTGATGGAGGTTCATTGAAAATATGTGTCTTTAATGTACATATATGTACAAATATCTACATCAAAGATGTACAAATATACATCTTTGATGTAGATGAACTTAAAGTTAACAGTAATAATATAAAAAACAGTAGTAAACGTCGGGGGTATGACAAATATATGTTGGGTCTGGTGTGCAACGTATAAAGTTTTTTGCTATTGCTAAAGATGTTTCAGAAACATATCAGAATATAAACAAATTTTAGGTTTTCATATAGCATGGGATTTAATGTTGGCTAACATGATTATGGGTTTATCTGGCCATGGTGGCATCCATGCATGTTTATATTGTGAAAGTGAGAAGACTATAAATGCAGGAACTCTAAGAACGTTTGGAAGCCTTGATTTTCATCTTCCAGAGTATCAAGCAGCAGAAGAAGAAAAAGAAACTGTGCTTCTGTATAAAAATGTTATACGAAAAAGGCTTATTCATCTTAGTGAAGATCCAGAAGTTAAAGTGATTAACAAAATTCCTCCATCATCGTTACATATATTTATAGGTTTTATTAATGTTCTCAGCAACCTAATTTTTGATCTCTGGCAAAACTTTAATCAGTGGCTGTCTGGAAAATACATTCTCAGACATGGCTATCATGGAGGAGGGTTTGGTAGAGATAACTCTAACAAGATATTGAATAATTTTCAAGATCTAGAAGATGCATTCCTAAATGATTATCAACAGCTAATACCTATTATAACATGTGTCAAAGATTTAAAGTGTGCTGTGGATGACTGTTTCTGTGATTTCCTTAGTCCTAATGTCAAGCATTCTATTGCTAGATTGAAAGACTCATATAATTACCTAATAGAGTTTTCAAATGGCTGTAATTACACCTTACCCATAACATAGAAGGTCCACATCATGTTAGCGCATATTGTTTCTTTTTGTGAAGAAAATCAATGTGGTCTAGCCAGATTTGCAGAACAAACTGGAGAAACTATTCACTCTAAGTTTAAACGAACTTGAGCAAGATACAAAAGAAATGTAAGTCACAAAGGTCACGGAGAGAACTTGCATAAGGCAGTTTCAGACTTCCCATCAAGACGAAGATAGTAACTTAAAGACAATTTCAATTAACTTTATAAATACTATGCAGTAACTGTAAAGATCTGTAAAAGTATTTAGCTTTATATAATCTTCTATAAAATTTGTCTTCTGCCTACTACTCACTGAATGGCTGGATTTAGGTTCACTAAAATCGATGTTTGAAAAAAATAAAGATAAAAGATATATAAATTTAGTATAAAGTTATTAAAAAATCAAGTATATTTTGGTGAATATAGTCATCATATATATTATTATTATTATTCTGAGAAGATGGAAGGGATAGGGATGTAAACAAAAAGTTTATATATATTTCTATTTTTTATGCTAGATTTATATTTAATATAAAAACTTTGGCATGTCGCCCCTCTGTTCTCTTATTAATAATATTTTCAATAGAATTTTTGACCCCCTAGTCTAAAAATGCATCCTTAGATTTGGATTAATTTTTAATATTCTAAAAATATCTGGTCTGCAAATATTTAGTTTATGCCAAACCGTGTAATTTGTTTTTTGAGTGGCGAATCAACTTAAATTTGCTAGCAAAAAAAATATAAAAAATTAATAATTAATTTACAACTACAAAATAATAACACTCTAGTAACTAACTGCATTATAAAAATAATTACACTATAATCTTTATCTTTCATGATTTATTTTATCTTTCATGATTTATTCTTTGTTCAAACAACATAAGTAATATCAAATTTTAGTTGAAGTATAAAAGCATATAAAAAATAGAGTGGATATTGAAATAATATTTAAAACTTATTACATGACTGCGCGTAAATAAAAAAACTATGGTTTAAAATGAAAATGAAATGGTTTGAAATGGTTTAAAGCATTAACTAAAGAAATAATTCACAATTCAAAGGTAATTTTAAAGTTTTTCCCAATGGCTTTAGATATTTTGAAATATATAAAAGTGTTTATGTACCGCCATGCCGGTCACTTGCCATTTAGATATAAATTTTATGAACCGCTATACGGGTCACGCGTCACGAAGGAGTTAAACAACTATATAAAAACATACTGTATGAAAAGTTTAGCATTATGAAAAACGTTACTTATATTCCATATAAACATGCCTATTTTTAAATTCAACAAAAAAACTTTTTATTGGTTGATTTTAAAATTAACGTGCATTTTTAGGGACTATTAGTAACGTTTTTTATAATGCTAAACTCTTCATAAAGTATGTTTAAATGAAGTTGTTTAAATGTATTTGTTAAAGTTCGTTAAATTTTTATTAATATTTGAATATCCACTTTATTTTTTCTAAACGCTTATCTACTTTGATTATTTTTTAAAATTACAAATGTTGTTTGAAGAAAGAATGAACTTTAAAAGTTATAATTGCTTTATAAAAGTAATAACACTGTTATAGTGTTGTTACTTTTATAATGCAAAAGTAATAACACTCTAGTTTGTGACTAGAGTGTTATTACTTTTATAGTTGTAAGTTTATTTTTTTGTTTTGTTTTTTATAGCTTTCGCTAACAAACTTATAATAATGTGTTCATTGAAAACTAAGTAAACGGCTTTGCATAAACTTAAAATCAAATCATAACTGACCATCATAGCAGACAACTCAAATAACAAAAAAAATACAAACATTGGGTGCTCTACTGACTTTTCAATACATAATCGATATGTTTTTTAAACTGCATTTTTAGAAAACTATTAACATTAAAGGACAGAAAAAAATGTACAATTCATTACTTGTAATGCTATTCAATTTTTAATAAAGATTTATAAAATAAATAAATAAAATATAATATATATATATATATATATATATATATATATATATATATATATATATATATATATATATATATATATATATATTTAAAATAAATACATGATACCTGTTTACATTTAAAAAAAGCTAAATGAATGAATATAATTCAACATTTATGTACATTACCACTGATATTTAAACTGCAATAGACATTAGTTTGTATCTGATACTTTTTAAATCCTCTATTTTCTGTAATACAATAAACACCGTTTTTACAAGTTCGACTGCGTCTCATGATTCCTTTGCCATAGCTTTCAAAGCAAGTACCATTAATCCAATCACTCCATTCTCCTTAAAAAAATATTTTACTAATAAGTTATAAATTAAATTCAAGAAAAGTAAGAAGGTTCTTTTTCCATCTTTTTTAATACAAATAGTTTTATTAGAATTAAACAATATCACATAATGCATGTTCAAAGATTATAAAAAAACAATAAAACATATGGTTGATAAATATAGTAATATAAAGTATTTAATATTTACAAATATTAAATGAACATTAAAAAATGATATATTATTAACTTTGTATTATTCTTTTTATTTGAAAGTTGCCCAATTTACTTTTTTAATATTATTAATGTATTACTTTATTAACATATTTGAAAGTTATCTAATTTACTTTATTAACATGTATACTTTTTATTATTTTTTATATCTACTTGGTTGATTATTTGTTATGTGGTTACTTTGATTGTTATATATTAGATTAATATATTTGAAAAATATAACCAATTAATATGTATGATTGATATATACATATATATATATATATATATATATATATATATATATATATATATATATATATATATATATATATATATATATATATATATATATATATATATATATATATATATATATATATATATATATAAAAGCACTAAATCTTATGTCTTTTTTAAAAATTTGATGTCTTTTAAAGTCTTTTCACAATTCTTTAGACATAGCATTAGTGTTTTTAGCAACTTTAAATTTCTTAAAAAGGTTACATCTACTCATTTTGAAAATGTGAAAACCAAGACTGAATTTGGTAAAAAAAAATATGGTGGTACATAAATTTTTTTATTGGCTCATTATTTATGTTTATACATTTCTCTTTGTAAAGATTATACATTTTTGAAACATTAAGGTGTGACTAAAAGACTCAAGATATTCTCTATTGGTAAATACACAACAATGTGACTTCACTGTTTAAAAATATTTTTTGGGATCCCTAGCTGAGTTGGCCTTGCTGTGCGTTGTATATATGCCTTTCATGATTTTACCTCGTAGATCTTGTGCAGGAGTACTTTTTTAAACATCTTTGGAGATGAGTGAGTTGTGTTTTTAACTGACTTTAATGAAATTGACAGTGAAGTTAGATAGAATATTCTGCAAACTCAGACATTTTCTCATTTTACATAAAAAAATATCTATATGCCAGTGCCTTTTTGAATAAAGTTGATTTTCAGCATGGTCATCAGTTTCTGCATTTGTGGTAAAACTATCCTTGTTTTCCTCAATGTTTTTTTTTTGGTCTAGCAGTGTTTGTGCAATCAGTTAAAATAATAAAAAAATGACTTTTCAGTAACTAAATTCAATACATAAAAATATTGTTTTACTCATCTTCTAATATTTTATTCGCCAGACAGTTTAATTTGGTTTAAATGACCTTATTCGATACTCGCTTTTCTCTTTGACTTGTATAATTTTTACCAGCTTGGTATGTCTTTTTTTATTTATTACATCCCCAGGTTTAAAAATTCGTTTTTGGAATTTTTTCTTAAACAATTGTTGAACTTGATCCCTAATAGAATAACAATATGTTGTCCAGAATGGTTCTCTTAGTATAAAATAATAGATTTTAGGCCTATTACTGTTAAAATCACTTTTTGGATGTAGAAGCAAATCATAAATTAAAAAAAATATTTTACAAAAAAAAACAGTCTTTACTACATTCACTGGTTGCAGCAACAAAATCATCACTATCATAACTGCTTTCATTATTAAATACTATTCTTCTCCATTTTCTGTTGATATTATACTTAAAACAAAAATTACTACTTTTCAAATTTCTTTTTTTTTTTACTTTTAACTTTCAAAAAAAGACTCAGAAAAAATAAATTTTGAATCATTTTTTAAATGTTTTTTTAACAGTACAGCCTGGTTTTTATCATTAGTACAAAAACGTTATAAGTTATATATTATAAGATGCCTAATTTTTTATATTACTGTTTCATTTGATGTAACATGTTAAAATAGGGCCGAGAGGGTGGAGGGGGTTCATTGGGACCGAGTTTGTCCCGGGCTGCAGATACCCAAGGGGTGCCAAAGTAAAAGAAGGTACCTTAAAGAAAAAAAAGGTCCTTCATATATAATATAGAAAAAAAAAAGATAAATAAGGGCGCCAATCATGATTGCTGTTCCAGGCGATTTGACAGCTCTTGGCGGCCCTGCGTTAAAATAACATACTTTGTAACACCAACGTTCCAAAGTGCACATTTATTGACTAACCGTTATAGGTAAGAGAAAAAAAATGAACAAATATCAACTTACTGTTTGGGGTAGGCACTGCAAAATATACTTAGATTTACCATAAGAAAATGGGGCGGCAAAATGTAATTACATTGACTGCAGTAAAACTGTAAGTTTGTTAATAAAGAAACAGCATTGTTTTAAAACTAAAAAATGAGTTTTAGCTTATCCCATTTTATTTTAATTTATAATAGTTATTTCTATACTAATCAAAATTAGTGTTTTTTGTTGCATTATGTTACAATAATAAATTTGAGTAAAGCCGCAAGACGTTGCAAAAAACTTTTTTAATAATGCCAAGTAATAGTGTATTTTATTTTATATTGGCATAAAATCAGAACACTTTATGCTGAATTTCAGACCTATTTCTTCATATGATTTTTGATGAGCATAAAATTCTCTATCATAATAAGTAATTAATAAAAACCAGCAAGAGAATCTGCAGTTAGGGTTAGTTAGAACCTTTTCAAACTAAATATAGTTTTAAAACCTTTTCAAACTAAATAAAGTTTTGGAATCAAACTATATATAGTTTTGGAATAGATATATGCTATACAGAAAGACTAGACTAGACAAGTATAATTACATAGACTACACAGTAAAATCTAGTTTCGAACTTCTTTTTGATAAACTTACTTTTTCTCTAGACATCTTTCCATTTTTTAATAATCTTTAACTAACACTGAACTTTACTAAATTAGTTTTCCTTTTTCACTTAGGCTATTACTGATCAAAGTGTTCCAACTTGTACACCAACACTGTTCATGTTTGAATATTTAACAAAAAAGATAAGTTACATTTTTTGTCACAAGAGCCGTAACACAAGCTTTTCCACTAAGAAAACAAATATAAATAAGTTTATAAGTTTATAACTTGAACACATCTGTTTATAAGTGTTTAACTTTATAAGTTTATAAGTTTATATCTTTAACACATCTGTTTATAAGTTTTTAACTTTATAAGTTTATAAGTTTATAACTTTAACACATCTAAGTTTGAAAAGACAACTTTAATTTTGAAATATGTAGAAACATTAAAGTACATTTACTCTAAATCATTTTGAAGCTGCCAAAACTTATTTCAAAAAATGGATTATTAGAACTTAAAACTACAAAAAAAAAAAAACAAACTTTTGATTTTTTAAATAAAAGAAAACAGATATAAATAAGTTTATAAGTTTATAACTTTAACACATCTGTTTATAAGTGTTTAACTTTATAAGTTTATAAGTTTATATCTTTAACACATCTGTTTATAAGTTTTTAACTTTATAAGTTTATAAGTTTATAACTTTAACACATCTAAGTTTGAAAAGACAACTTTAATTTTGAAATATGTAGAAACATTAAAGTACATTTACTCTAAATCATTTTGAAGCTGCCAAAACTTATTTCAAAAAATGGATTATTAGAACTTAAAACTACAAAAAAAAAAAAACAAACTTTTGATTTTTTAAATAAAAGAAAACAGAAATAAAAGAAAAAATAAAAGAAAAGTTCTGTAAATTTCAACAAACTTTTCAAATAGAGGATTCTCAGAACTTAGCCCAAATACCCAATATTGAAATAGACTGAAAAAAACTTTGTCGGGTTTTCAGCAAGCATATGAAAAACATTTATAACAACAAAACTTTTATTCATTACTTTCCTTTCTCAAGTTTCTTGATATAAAACTTTAAACATATTAGTCATTTAAAATAGCACCTATGTCATGCTTGGACAGGAGTGCCATGGGATCGAGCGCTATTGCTGACCACGCATATGATTTTATTTTTTGACAACTTGACCACAATTGTTTTTATGTTTTAATGATGTAAAAATTTCAGAAATGCTCTAAATGTAGAAACGCTATGCTAAACTTAAACTAGGAAAAAAATTTAAAAAAAAAATTAAAAAAAAAAAGTTCCTATTGAAAAAAGAAACGAAAAACAAATTCATAACAAAAACAAAATTATATAAGCATTAAAACAAAAATAAAAACTTAAACCTGAAGTGAAACTTATTGTTACGTTTTTAATAACGTACGAAATGAACGTTATTAAAGCTTATCTTTTTAAACGTTCTTTAAGTTAAGCAAAACGTTTTTAAATTAATAACAAATTACTCCTAATGACTTGTCTATTCAAGGAACAAACTTTTTATTAAATTTTATCAAATTTAATAAAAAGTATTGTATATAATATTTTTAAATTGTATAAATATTTGTTTTTTCGAAAAAAGTTGCAAAAAAAAATTGTTTAAAAAACATAACGTAGTCTTTTTACAATAGTTACTTTTACTAATTTTATGCTCTAATTAGTAAGTCTAATTAAAAAAAAGGTTTTCAACTTTTTTATTTGTTAAAATAGACAAAAAAAAAAAAAAAATGCGTCTGCCATTTAAATAAATAAACTGCCAACAAGCATTTTCAATTTATTTTTAATTTGAGCATTACAACTTTATTAATAAGCGCTTCGCGTAACGAATTTAAAAATTATTATAAAAGATTTATACTCATTTATTCGTATCAAAATTAAAGTAAAAAAAAATTATTACAAAAAATAAAATGTTTATGTAAAAAATTTAAAAAAATCGTAAGTTTATTTATAAAAATTAATAGTATGAATATGTATCAACAAAATACATGCTTATAAAAGTAAATAAAGTTATTTTATATTCATGTGTAATTCACATAAAATGTGTAAAAGTTAGTAGTCACAAAAGCTATTGAACTTATTCACAAATAAAGTAACTTAAAAAATTCTTTCTAAATATAATGGTTTAAAAATGTTTTAGGAACGAATGGAAAAATAACTTTTTTATGATAAAATAAACATTTCAAACATTTAAATTTAACATAAAAATTACATGCCTACATAAAAAAAACTTATATAAAACGTTTTTTATTAATTTATGCATGCCTTTATGTAAACAATAAATATAATTAAATTTATGGTTTTATTTAAGGCCTTTGTATAAAACTTTAGAAAAGATCAACAATTAAAAGATATTTAACATAATACTTTTTTTATTGCATTCATTTGTTAAAACATCAAAATAGTCGTGGTCAAGTTGTAAAGAAATAAAAACATTAGCATGGTTAGTTACAGAGTGTGATCGCACACCATTCCTGTCCAAGCCTGTAGGAGCTATGTGTGTTTTGATAGCTAATGTTGAAATTAAAGTACAGAAAAAAATAGTAAACTAACTATTAAAAATAATAAAAAAAGAAAACAACAAAAAACCTACGAAAACAAGTAATAAACAATACTTTTATTAACCTGTGCAAATCCCATTAATCAAAGAGTAGTTACCAAGACATTGACATTTGTTATTTATACATGTTGAAAACAAAGAGCATGTGCCATTACAATCTAAAACCGAAAATTCTAAACTAAAATATTTTTAGCAGATACAATATTAAACTTTAACTGTTAAGCAGTATAATGGCAACTTGATTTGTGCAACATTAAAAAATTTAACCTTTTGAACAAAGTCTAATTTGAAAATATATATATTTTCATAAAGAAGACAAATTTTTTATTTTTTAAAAATATTTTTTTAAATAAATAATAATATATGTTTTGATTAACACTAGTCATCTTCAGTTAAAATTAAACAACTAAAATTTGTTAAAACACCTATAAAGGTTGTTAAAAAAAACACAATTCAAAATATAATTATTCTTGTACAAACTAATATTAAAATAATTACAAAAATAAAATGAAATCAGTTAAAAAGTTTATCATTTCCTACAAAAGAAATAGGAAATAACAAAGGTATAAGTTAAAAAATATGCAATATGTATAAAAAATAGCATCTAAACAGAAATGTTTATAGATGTGAGACTTTTTATCCCTGTTGTAATGTTCAGATATCTGGGTCTTGAGATAACGAGTAGTTTTGTCTATATAACAGGAGTTACATACGAATTTATACACTACGAACAATTTGAAGAAAAGACTTTGGAAATTTTCAATGGGGTTAATATTAATTTAATATTTGCTGAACTGCAATATCTTTTAGCAATTGAACTCATTATTTTTTAAGTTGAATCAGATATTTTCCTAAAACCAACAGTTTAAAATTAGACCAAGATTCTTTGATTTTTGGTTGTGATGGAGGATTTAAATAAATCTTGTTTAAATAGAAGTTATATTTTTTTTGAAATGACCCAAGATGGGTACACGTTTCTTTGAAATACTTCAAAGAGGTCTTTTATGTCAGAGTAAAACCCACCTTTAGTACTAATAATTTTATTAAATAGAAAAACAAAAAGGTGGAAAAACGGTTGCGATCTTTTATTATTAACTGAGCTTAAATTATGCCTTAAAGAATGTAATTATGTGGACAATGCTATTAAAAAAGCATTTCATAATGCAAGGACCAGCTCAACAAAAAAAAGCTAATGAAATCTTTCCTTTAGTCACTACATTTTACAGTAATTTAAACTACCAGTTATACTAAAGAAACCTTTCATTTAGTCTATCTTTTAGTGAAAGAATACAACAAATTATTAAGCTGTTACAAGAAATTAGGCATAAGGCGAGTAGAGAAAGTAACCGATTCGGATTGTCTAGAAAACAATTTAGAAAGTTGACTATTTCTGTTGAAGATTGAGAGGTTTTAGGCTTTAACGCCTGCAGAGTCACTGACACTAGAGCCAAGCTAATCAATGCGATGAGCATTAATGTAACAATAATGGTAATTGGCTCAAAATTTCTCCTTCATTATATAAGAAAGATGGAGACACTTTGATAATGAAATTTTTTATGAAAACAATTTTTTATTAAAAAGGTTAAAAACGGTACTTCTTAGCAGGAAATCAAGTTATGTTTGTAGTTTGAATAAGATGCAGTTACCGCAATTATATCTCTGATTTAGGTCTATTAAAATAATATTTTATTCTCCATAATATCATAAAACACTGCATATTTAGTATAATTGATTTGCATTGTAAAGTTAACATTTATTTTTGTTAATCAAAAAAGAAATTAAAACATTTGGAAATAATGCAAAATATTTGCAATACCTCTCTCACATCCTTATATCAGCTCTTGTGTTACACTTTTAGTGTATTTCAACTCTTTAAAGAAATCATTGCAATACTCCTAGAACACTTCATTCTTAGGAGGAGGTGAAAATTTTTTTTTTTTTAAAGTTTTATTTTTTACTTTAAAATATGAAAAAACGCCTAGTTTTTCTGAAAAAAAAAAAAATACAATTTTATTTTTATAAGTAAAAAAAAAAAAAAGTATTTGGTCCTTCTCCCCTTTCCTTTGCTTAGATTATGTGACATCAACTTCTGTGATAACTCTTGTACTTTCAATCATCTCACCTATCTTCTGTAAAAATACGCACAAAAATCAATTTAATTTATGTGAAAAGCTTTTGTCCCGCTGGTTAACTTTTTTATACATTTTTTGACATATTGAGTGTGAAAAGACCAATTTGATACAATGATTGGCTAAATAGCAATAAAGTAAAAAAGAAAAAGAAAAATGAATTCAGAGACAAAGGAAATTTGATTACTCAATATTTTAAGTTCATTTAACTTTTTGTGTAATTAAATCTTTCAACAATTAACTTTCAAAATACTTTAAAAAATAAATTTCTACAGTTTAAATAATAATTATTATTACCTATAATAAATATTGTTATAATGATATTAACAATAATTATTAATAATTGTTCCTATCTTTTTATTGGAGATGGGGTCTCAATAAAAATACTAATTTTGGGCAGACGTTAAATGCACTTTGCTACGGATTAGGGTTTGTTAATAGTAATAATTAACAATATACTGAAAACCATTGAAAAAAACCATTGTCATCACCAAAATCTCTTAATCAGTCATTTAATAATATTTGTAGTCTTCGACTTGCATAGTTTACCAGACTTAATTGCTCTTTCTTGACTAATTTGAGTTCAGCTGTATCATCCTGTTATCTTATTGTTGATGGTTATTTTATTTAAACTCGTAAAGACTCCGATAGTCAAAACCTTGGCATGGGCATTTACATTCATAAGTCACAAAAAAAGTGCTTTTTGTGTAACTTCTTGGATTCAGGCTGGATGACTTGGCTCTAACATAACTGACACTGCTGGGACTAAAGCCCATAGGTTATGCATTTCAATATCATACTCAGGTTTATTTTTATTTACTAAGGTTGTGCATTTTAATATCTTAAGTTAACTTTGTGATTTGTTTTCCTGACAACTCTAATTATTTAGCTTCACTCCTTGATTTATGTTTTGTCTCTAAACCTAGCGTATGTTCAATTTATCATTTTTTTCTCTTAGGTGGTTATGACCATGTAATAAACTCTACAAATCTTTCAATTCGTACTTCTATTTTAGACTTACCTTACTTACTACTACTCTTACTTACTACTAACCTTAGTTACTATCCTGATTGCGATGTTTTTGTGATTTTCTATATGAATGCCCTGGGCTGATGTCTCTCTCAGCTGACAAATGGGCGTCCTTCATTACTGGTTCCAAGTCAAGCTTCATTTTATGAAGATTTTCGAAAAGACTTTTTGAAAATCTTCAACAAAATCATTAACAAGGGTAGGTCTAATATTCTATCTCATTCATGGAACTGATCTTGTTACTTCTTCCAAGGATAAGACAAAACTAATTGTAAAGAAATTTTCTAATTCGACTATTTAAAGTTTTTTTCTTCCTTCCATTTTAATTAAACAAGTTAACTCATTGTAAGACATTTAAATCACTCCAGTTTCCATTGCTAAAGTCAAAACTCAATCAAACTCATTTACAACTTGTGGAGCATACAACATTTCTGTCATAGTCTTACAAAAATGTTTTCCAGATCTCTCTTCCATTCTCTCTAAACTATTTAACAAGTGCTTTACTTTTTCTTGCCTGATGGAATATGGTATCTGTTTCTCTAATTTTCAAAAATCTGTAGAACATTCTAAACTCTCCAATTATTATTCAATCAGTTTTCTATCTGTTATTAACAAGGTTTTGGAGTCTTTGATCAACAAATTTCTCACATTCCATTTTGAGTCAAATAACTTACTGTTAGACAACCATTACGGTTTTCGATCTTCTCGCACTACAGCTAACTTGTTAATTGCTGTGATTGAAAGATTTTTTTGTGTGCATTAGATGGAGATGGAGAGGTTAGAGCTTATTGCTTTTGACTTATCTACAATTTTTGACAATGTTTGGTATGCTGTTCTTTTCCATAAGTATGCTTCATATGGTGTATTTGAGATTATCAAATTGGCTTGTAAAATTTAATGCCTATAAAACTCACTTATCTAGTGCAAACAACTATTGAAATATTGTTGACATACTTATATTAATGAATGGAAAGTCTCTCACTAAGTCCTTTTCTGAACGTCTTATTGGATTATCGTTTAATACTGACCTTTCATGGAAACCATTTTGTATATATGGTGTCCATGAAATATAAGTCAGTAGTATCGGATGGACACGGAAAAATTTGTTTACTGTTAAATTGAGATTTCTCTAAGACCATAAATGCTTTTTAACTTAATTTTTTTATTATTGTGTTTACATAAATTAGAGTTTCAACTTAATTTTATTGGGCTGGATGGGCTGTTTAGAAAGAGATCAAATTTTAAGGTGGTTTAATGCCATCATTTCACCTTATTGGTGGCATTAATTTACTTTTTTAGAAGTCCTTTTTATTTTTTATTACTCCACCTGTCTTACGAAGAACTCCTTTAACTATTACCAAAAAAATTTAAATCTTGCGCTCTTCAGAACAATTTGGAGGATTCGCATCTTTAGAAACAACTTTCACATTATTATCTCTGCTCAACTGTAGAAAATTTTTAGAATAGTGAGATGTAACAAGATCTAGCTAAAAGAGATATAGGTATGAGTGTTTTTTCATAAATGGCTAAAGTCTTTTTTAAACGCATTCTTTGATGAAGAAATCGGCTGTCAAGGTCTTCTTAGTGAAAAAACAAAAAGACTGCATACCACAGCTTCAAATTGCTTGCCACACAAGAAACTTGGATGCAAATTATTCTCTTCCAATATATTTAAATTGATCATTGACAGGTTTATCTTTGTTCTCATAGTAAAATTGTTGACCAGGAAGTTGTGAAAAATCCAACTTGCAATATACTTTGTCGACTTCAATTATGCACATACTTTTATCCGTCTTTATTTCAACCAACTTCTTTAATTCTTTTAATTGCACCATTTAAATTCATTTGAATTCCTTTAATTTCACCATTTAAGCTTGAGTTTTCTTACTAGATCTTGCTGTGACTTGTTTGGATTTCTTGCTGTTAAACAAAAAATCAACGTAACCCTTTTGGATTTATCGAAAGTTTTCTTTCTTTCACATCCAGGTTTTATTTCAAAGCATTGAGTAGTTTTAAACTTATTTATAACATATATGACTGTAAATTTTGGGATACTTGTACGTTTAGCAATCAAACAATATGAAGACAATGGATTTTTGCATTCAAAATTCACAACTTTTTTACGCACCTCAACCTTTTTCCAAAACATTTTGCAAATGATTAATTTGTAAACAAAAGTTTATCAACACAAATAAACATAAGGAAGTAAAGTTTAATTAAAAAAATAAAATAAATAAAAAGCAATTGTGGTTTTAGAGAAATCTCAATTAATAGTTGACTGGATTTTTCCATGTCCACCCAATAAGTCTTAATTTTATCTTGCTCAGTATTTTCTTACCCTTAATTTCATTCTCTACTTCTATAAATCTCTTATTTTACCCTGTATGGAACACAGTTTTTTCATTTTTAGGCTGATTCTTCTAGTAATGCTATATCTCTTCTTGAGAAGGTCCAAAAACACATTGTAAATGCAGTTGGAACTCGCTCTAACAAGGTTGAGCCTCTTTTTCATCATTGTATAGCTACATCATTTTCTCCTTTCTACTAATACTATTATGATCGCTGTCAAAAAAAAGAGATGATAACTCCTTTAAGAGTTATCATCTCTTAAAGAGCTATCATCTCAAGACCATACGGTCTTGAGATGATAGTAAAAATTAATAAGATATTTACAAGATAAAAAATAAATAACAAAATAAGAAACTTAAATCATACTATTAAAAATACAAGATACAATATTACATATTACAGTTGTTAATGATACATATATAATTTTTATAAATTCATGTTTAAAGAAAGGATAAAAAGGAAGATCACTAAAAAATATCAAAAGTATATTGTTAAATCTTCGATTGTAAAAATAAGTTCTTTAAGCTTCGTTCGTTAAAAATTTTATTGATTAAAGCAATTATTTTTTGCTTAAAACTTGAGCTTCAAGCTGAAAAATTTTCATTTTTGACTTAAAGCTTCAGCTTTATGCTAAAAATAGTTACTTTTATGAATAAAATCCTCAATAAAATTTTTTATAACTATTTTATTCCATAAAAATGGTCTGCAATAATCAATGCAAAATTTAAAAAGATTTGTTTAAAAAATGGGCTGCCTAATAAAATTATCATTGCGTAAAATGTATATATTTTTATCTGTTAGTGAATAAAAATTATGGAAAGAGATCAGGGCTGAATTGGTTTTACATTTAAACAAAAAACAAAGAATATTAAAAATATTAGGCTCATATATATTAAAAACTTTCATTTAAAAAAATAAAGGTTTGAAATGAGTATAATGGTCTTTAAAATATGTAAGACCTGCTACATGCTTCTACTGACAATAAAAAGATTTGCTACATGATAAGACGTGCTACATGCTTCTACTGACAATAAAAAGATTTGCTACATGATAAGACGTGCTACATGCCTCTACTGACAATAAAAAGATTTGCTGCATGATAAGACGTGCTACATGCTTCTACTGACAATAAAAAGTTTATTTTTATTTGTATCTCTATTATTTTTATTTGCATATCTAGTTCCATCTACATTACTGTATCTGTCTCTGCATGATCTAAAAAGTTTTAATTATCTAGTTTTTTTCTCTTTACTTTAACCAATTGGAACTCTCTTTCATATTTTCCTGTCTGAAATCACCTACAACTTTAAATCTTCTGCCAACCATTTCCTTGCTCTTTAACTCTATTATTTTTTTCCTAGCAACTCCTATCTTAATAATGGTTGCTTGCAGCCCTGTTGGAAGTAAA